ATACCTAAAATGAATTTCGTACCATCTGATCCACAATTACTCCTAAAGTTCTAGAAAAGACAATTCTCAATGTTTTATGTTTTGCTATGACTTTTAACAAAATCAAAATCAAACATTATCATTTGTTAGATTATTTTTAATCTATTCGGTGTTCACTTATGATCAACTTTGTGGTGATGTTTCACGAGTAAAAAGAAAGACAAAAATAAAAATATTAGTTCTAGATGATAAAAAAATCCTTGCAACTACACCAAAATTGTTGTATACCCAAAAGTCTTTCAAAAATATAGATTTAGAAAATCTTTGAGATGTTCACTTTTGAATTTGTTTTTAAGAATTTTCATTACCAAATATTTAATACTAAATTATTTATTTTATTTTGTTTTTAATGTCTTAGTAATAAAAAACATATTATATTTTTTTATAAATTCTATTTAAAATATTGCATTGAAGTTAATTTACAGAAGTGTCAAAAATTTCGTCCAACCCCGTGCGTTGCACGGGTAGGAATACTAGTATGTACTTAAATACGGAGTAATTATTTTATATTTTACATGTTCAATGTTAGTGTGGTTAATATTACTATTTCAAGTATGAGTAGAGTTCCATTGATACTAGCCAACGGTGCCACTACGTTTTTAAACCACCACTCCGTCGTTTGCAAGATTGATGATTTCTACCCTCTTAATCCACCCCTAAATTTGCAAATGAAGCACTGGAGGTCCTCCAAAAGCGCAGTGACACCGCTAGTGCACCGTTGGCCAGTGTCAACGGAACCATGCCCTCCCGCTAGTGCACCGCTCAAATTAAACTTCAATTCTCCTCCCACTTGATTGGTACGAAGTCAACTTTCTAAAATCCATATATAGGATATTTTATTTAGATCCGAGCTCCAGCGAAAGTGGAAGCATTGCTTCTTTCTGCATTATTAAGTTGAAAAAAGTATGAACATATATTGCATTGTAATGAAACCAATCACGTACAAAAAAGTCAAGTTCATCGAAAGTCAAGTTCATTGAGTGCCTAGCTATTGTTTTCATCAATTATAAAACATCAACTTTTATATGAGTAAATTTCTTATAGGAGTGATATAATTTTTATCTCAAGTTTTGTCAATGTGCAAGGTAGCCGTTTGAATGATGGTAAATTAGTAATCCCCCAATCCTAAAAAAAAGTTTTACCTTCGACTTGGCATAAAATTTAAAAAAAATAAAAAATGTGTGATTGAAAGTGATGCAGAGGAAAGAAATGAACTAATGTGTAATGTCATTTATGACATCTTTAAGTATAGTTAGAGTGTTCTTCTGAAAAACAATGGTGATTCCTTTGACATTAAATTGGCACCAAAAGCCATATTATGACATTAGTTCATTTTGGTCACTTAGGTCATGTTGTATTCAAATTATTCTTATTATATATTATTTTTTCTTATTGGGTACAAATCAAATTTGACCAGATTAGACTAAATCAGATTAGATCAGAAATAGTTTCATATATAACTACATTCTGATCGGATCAGATCAGATCAGGAATCAGGAGTCAGGACTCATTCAGAACTATTGAGAAGAGAACGATGGTCTTCGAGTACAAAGTTGGAAGTGCCAAATTTAAGAATACAAATGACATAGGCAAGTAAGGTGGGGGTTCAACGATCGCACCCCCAAAATGTTTTAAAGCCATTTTTAGAATATGATATAAAAAAAGAATAAATTTCATATCAAACAAATTTAAAATAACTAAATTGAAATATACTCCCTCCGTCCCACTATATTTGTCCACTTTCATTTTTGCACACCATCCAATACACTTCTTTAATCCATTTTATCTTGTAATTTGTATATTAAAAAATTATAGAAATTATATATTAATATTCTATATGTTAAGACAAATCAAATAAGATCACACATGACTATATTTAGGCTTACACATTGAGAGAATTTGATGAGTCAAAGTGCTTAGATGAACAGTTCCAAAAGTCAAAAGTGGACGAATATAGCGGGACGGAAGTAGTATCAAATAGAAAATATAATGTTCAATATTCTATTTAGTATAACTATAATATAACAATTATTTTGCCTTTATATTTATAAAAATTATTATTTTTTGTTGGAATTAATTAATTTGACCATGACACAATTTTTTTCTATTTAGGACACACTTTTAATTTACTACGGAGTATATTGTTTTATAGTTTTACACTAAATATTTAAAAACAATTGATCGGGGCGAGTGCATGGGTAGGATCAAAGTGGATCCGCAACTAATAGTTGGGCCCGAAAACAGGGGGAGAGGTGTTTGGGAGTATTAACCACTTTAGAAGCCCACGGAGGACTATAAATATCCGATATCATAATATGACATTAGTTTTGATAATATGAGAGGAATTGTTGCGCAAAAATGAACAAATAAAAATATTAAATTGGTGTTATGTGACTTATGATGACTACACCTTTACTTTCTTCGTCCCAAAAAAATGCTCTCGTTTCATTTTTTGTGCATCTTATAAAATACTTTTAGACATCTAAAATTTACCACATTTCTCATTTATTGTAAGTAGAAATTGTTCCGAAAGTTTTTTTTGACATTTGGGCATGATAGAAGTATTTAATGTGATGCGAAAAATATAAAACAAAAAAATATACATCCTGTCCGCCATAAATCCTTTCAAATGTCATTTTTTCCATGAAGATCTATCTATTACCATTTTTAACATTTAAAATACTAGAACAACCACATATTTTTTATTTATTACACCTCACCCGTCTTATTTAACGAACTCCATCCAATTTTATTAAAGATATTTTAGTAAATTTCTACCTTTTTTAACGTACTCTCCTTAAAATTTATAAAAATGAATTTGAGAAGATCTATAGCGGCCGCATGGAATAAATAGCTAAAGCTTTTTTAGTTATCTACATACCAGGGAAATGATCAAGCCACATGTAGTTCCCATAGTATTGGTGAATATATAATTGATATGGGAGAAAAAAAGATTAAGAGTAAAAAAGCATCAAATTTTTAGACATAGTTTTACTTTCGTAATTTGACTTTCCAATTGTAACTTTAACGTCGAAGAAAAAAGAGAGATAAATTATTTAAATAACTTATGATATCAATATAAAATGAATGAAGTATATTGCAAGACTTTATTTGAATATAATAGTAGTTTTTTGCAAAAGTGAAATTGTTTTGGTATAACAAAAAATTGAAAAAGGAACTTTTTTCAAAAACAGAAAATATAATACTTCAAAAAAAAAATAACAATATCACATTGTCACACTACCAAGTGCCACCGCACTGCCGTCACATTGTTGCAATCGTACTATCATCGACCGCCGCCAGACTATCAATTTTTCCGTCACCCATTGCAGCCGGACTACCAACTTTGCCACCACCATACACTCACCGCACCACTGCCGCCCCACACTGCCACCACGATACTAGTCAAATGAGAAAATTAAATTCGGACAAAAAAAAATACTTATTTGCATGTATAGTCTGTGTGTTTTTATCAAAAATAAAAACAAACTTTTTAAACCAAAAACATAACTTTATTATGGAAGCATGTCCTTTAAAGTAATTTTCAATACAAACTATTTATGAACAACTAATACAAGCAACCAGACAAAGCAGTTAACTTAATCAAATATTCAAACCAGTCCTCACAATCAGCTAACAACGAATCTCCAGACAAAGGCCATTATCATCTTACATGGTGATTCAGTGCCTGTTTATAGAAAAAGAATGTATTAGAATATAAAATGAATTTGGCCCTGAAGGAGAAGATTTGCAGAAAAGCTAACACAAGATTTTGATGTAAAAAAGGAACAACCAGGTCTGTTTATTGTGCAGCTCTAAGAGGTAGTACTACATGCATTTATTAGAATTTGCAGACCCATCATACCATGAAATAACTTATTCCCAATATACAATAAAGAAACAAAGAAGAGAGTGATGATAATAAAGTTAGAATTTGCAAGGTTACATGTGTAAGGGAAAACTAAGTTTTGAATCAAATGTTCATTATATGGTTCTCAAAACCATCTTCTTCAAGGGGCTCAACCATTGAGTCTTCAACCAGCCCATCTCTGAATCCCTTCCAATAAGTATTCACATTAGAGAATATGGAGTCTAGTTATTGTTGGAAGAAACATTTAGGGGAAAACATGTCTCTTCGCCGCCGGTGTTCCACAGGAAATTAGCATACTGAGACGCGTAATAGGGATTCCGGATGTCTCCATCCACTGCAATGGCCTGTTGGTAAAGATCTTCCGCCCCGGGCAGGTCCTTCCTGACCGTCCACAGGAAGTTGGCATACTGACTCAGCACCTCTGCATCCTCCGGTTTCACTTGCATTGCCCTTTTGAAGCATTCCTCTGCCCTGCTCCATCACAATCAGAATGGCATGACCACCAAGAACAAGAACAAGAAGAAGAAGAAATTAGTTCATAGATCAAGAAATCAAGTCAAAAACAGCTAAGAGAATACATGAATTCTTAGAGAAAACTATTGAGTTCTTAACCATTTTGCCCATGAGTTCTTAGAGAAAACAGGGCAAACAGAACACAAGTTCTTCCATTGAAATTATATGAGTTCATATCCAGATTTAAATTGCTCAAAGCTCTTCCAATTGAATGAGCAAAACACATTGTCAAAGTCTAGCTTGAAGTACTCTACTAAGTGCAAGATTATAAAAAGTCACAAGTTGAAATTACCTTTCATAATCGCGTGTAACGAGTTGCAGAAACTGCGCATAGTTGCAGAGAAGAACCGTGCTGTGAGGATCATGAGACAACATTATCTGGTACGTAAAATCTGTCCTGTAGTAATCTACAAAGTCATCTGATTCAATCTCAACAGCCAATGGCGAAACGAATCCGACCATTGTTTCTATATTCAAACCTCTCATACCCCTTGCTTCATCCACAATTGAGTCCCACACCCTTTCCTCGGCTTCGCTCAATTCTTGATCAAGGCCCACTTTTGGATTTGTGATGAACACTGATGGTAGCATTTCGTACAAGCTGAAATCGGCTAGGAGGACCATAACAGAGACCATTAACTCAGGTGTCCGCGAAAAGACTTGCTGAAATATCCATGCAAAAGACAAACGCATCTCCCGCCGTGCCTTGGAAACAATCAAATCCAAATCCTCATCACATAATTCTTCTCGGATCTTCAAAGCGCAGCTCTGAAGCTCTGTGATGATAGTTACCATGGAAGAGAACGCCGTTCTTAGTGAGCTATAAGTCAAGTCTTGAGCAGAATCTCTAACAGAAGCTGCTGTTTCTTCCCATTGGTGTTTCTTCTTTATCATTCTCACTGAAACTGGAAGCTCGAAATTCTTGGCTTTCTGTTCAATGGGAGCCCAAAGAACAGCTTCCCTTTCCGGCCAATGGGGAGGTTCGGGCACGATTCCAAGCATTGCAGGGTCCAAGAAATCAAATTTCGATGGAAAGATTGAACCTTTTTTACCATTCTTGTTCCTGCTCACACTCACAGTGCAACAATCCCTAGATTGAAAGGGCTCATGACCCAAACCCCCATTACTAAAAGAAGAAGACTTTATCGAACGACCCCTAAAACCCTTCCTTGATCTGACAGGATTGAGAAACCCAGATTGACAGACAACCTTTTCATTCGGTTCACAACAGTCTCTCCTAAGACACGCAGAAGGAGATTGAGGGACAACAGGGGAAGAAAACTGCAGAGAAGATGAAGCGATTCCAAGCTTCATATTTGCCTCAAATCGAGGCCCTCAAAAGTCACGAACAAACGTGATCGAGAAACAGAGAGAAGATGTGAATAGAGGCAAAGATTTTGGTGAATTAGACATTAGAGTCAAAGAAGAGAAAGCAGAAAGTCCGTGCAGAAAGAGACCTTTGCCAAATCTACAAAGAGGAAGGAGTGGACTTTGATCTCCAGCAGATAATGTAAATCTTGAAAACCTGTGTAAAAAAATACAGATGAGAGATTAGGAGCAGCCCATTATTTCCCAAATTTTATCATTCACCCAATCTACCCAGAAATTTCAACCCATCCGCACGCGCTATTCAGGAAAACAAAACATCTTTCTAGAAAACCCAAAAAAAAACCTACCAAGAAAAAGAAACCAAGTCCACACTACTTAATTAGTGTAAAAGAAAAGAAGAAAGGAAAAAATGACCCATCATCACCTAGTGATGGAATTCTGCAGTTTTTTGGTCAAAAAAATCTGCAGATTTTTTTTTGAAAGGTATCCAATTTGAAGCTAAAAATAGAGTTGAATGGATGGAAGTCCAGAGTATTTTTAAGAAGGGTAAAGCTATCTATACCCAAGAATAGACCACCATTATTTTGTATTGGTGTAATGCTAATTTTTGTTAACCCATCAACACTTGGTGTCAGTCTAAATTTTTGCTAACGTACCAATATTTTTTGTCAGTGTAAATCATCAAAATGTTAGTGCATACCTAGAATTGAGGTACAAATTGTGGATACATTTAACATGCCACAGAAATGCAAAATGGGAATGGGAAAAGGAGAAGAGGTCTATGGAGAAAAGGGATGACACGTGGACCTCGATTAGAGCGCTGCAGCCATGTGAGCTTCGCCGCACGACAGGGAGAATGGGGCTAACAACAAGTGGGCCGCTCGTGCTGTCCAACAACATCGTAGTTTGGCCACGCGGATCTGCCAAAAAAGACATACAAAACATGACAAGTATATACGTTTTTTTGGGCCGTCGTTTACCATTAGACTGGACTTGGTATGATAATAAATTAATGACAATAATGCTGATTATTATTATAATTTTATTATTATTTAAACTCATGGAGGCCCAATAAAGAATAACTTAGTTGACCGATCTGGACAAGTGGAAGACCGAAGAGATGGCATCTTGGACCCAGGCACCAAATAAAGCACTGGCCCAATCAACACCGAATGGATAAGGCTTTCGTAACACAGAAACGATCACGACTTTATGCTCAATCTCACAAGCTGGATCGGGCCGAATGAATAATACTTCCTCCGTCCTCCTGTATTTGTCCATATTTGAATTTTGGAACTGTTTATCTGAGCACTTTGACTTATCAAATTCTCTCAATGTGTAAGCCTAAATATAGTCATGTGTGATCTTGTTTGATTTGTCTTAACATATAGATTATTAATATATAATTTTTTAATATACAAATTACAAGACAAAATGGATTAAAGAAGTGCATTGGATAGTGTATAAGAACGAAAGTGGACAAATACTCTGGGACGGAGGTAGTAATATTTATTATTACTATTATTGTAATAATAACAACAAAATTAATATTAGTAATAATAAAAACAACAATATTAATTCAAATTGTTATAAACACACAAAGATACTTTTCTAGATAAAAAAGGAAATACTACGTATTTAATAAAATAAATACATCTTTATTATTCCATATTATTTACTCAGTTTCACCCATAAAAAATGATATTTAAATAAATAATAGTAATATTATCAACAAAACATATTTTCTATATTAATCATTTTGTGAGATACTCATTATATATTAATGCATAAATTTGTTTAAAAAAAATTAACTTTTAATTAGTTAGAATTTATTGCCCATGGTGACACGGCCGACTCGAACCCTGCGGGTACTCATGTAGGCCGAGTTCGGGCTTCAATTACTAAGCCTATATAGGCGGGACCGAGCTCAGATCTAGAAATCTCTCATAATGCAGAGCCTCGACCCAGCTCGTACTTTGGTCGGGTCTAAATAGAGCATCTCCATCCTCTTTGTTTATATTTCCTCCACTTCACAATATTATTGAATAATGAAATAAATATATTACTTGAGAATTATGTAACACATGACACACTACAAGAATTCGAATCATGGACCTAAGACAAATTGCTTATTGCCAAAAACAGAGTAAATATCTTTGACGGATATTATTTCCTGTTGCAGATCTGCTACGGTTTTCCTTTCTCTCGTGGATCGAGCGTGTTGTGTTCCCCAATCTTTCAACTAAGACTATGAGTCAATCATAAAAGTTGATTAAAATACAAAGACTACCATAATAAATATAATTATTACTATTGTCTAATATTCTTCATTATGATGAACTTGTGTCGCGAGTAAAAGCTTGGAAATAAGAGTCTGAAATAACAGAGAAGATAACACCTCTACTAGAAAATATTAGAGCAACACACGTTTTAATTTTTGAGATGAACTATTTTCAATTTCTGATCTATACATATATAAAATGCATATGCTATATTAATTAGTTAAAATAATATTTTAAAAATATTTTATAAAATAAATTTAATTAAATAATTTTTGTATCAATATCTAATATTATTTTTATTTATTTTCTGATAAAAATTTATCATTTTTAATCTAGAAACAAAGAGTAGACAAATTTTCAAAAAAAAAGGTAATTTACCTAAATAGGACTAAAACATAATGACTTTCTCAATATATGACCATATGTTTTTATTTTCCAATGTAACATCATTGATCATTATTTATTAGTCATTATTCAACTAAATGTCCAGCATCACTTGGACATTATTCTTCTCACTAGTCATTATTAAGTTCTATTTAGATAATAAAAAAGTTTAACTCCTACATTGGAAAATAACTTATGTTTTAGTCCTATTCAGTGCAAATTTCACAAAAAAAAAAACCATTTTCGCCTATGTTGCGACCGTCGAAAGGAATAAAATCCAACAAATTGGTTTGTTAAATTTATGGGAGAAGTATTGTATTTTTGGATCCTAAAATTAAAAGGATCCGTCTTCTGCAATTCTGTCATACCCCTTCTTTTTTTTTTTTTGAAAACATTTCGCCATACCAATTGATGGCCAAAATTCCACAATTTGAGCTTTTTCAGAATAAATTTTCCCAGTTTTGGAGACACTCGTAGGGTACGTTTGGCAAAAGAAAGTTATGTTCTCTTCCTTTGATATGATTAATTTTGTTATAAATGGGATAAAGTTCTAATCTAGTCTGATCTGATCTAAATGTAATTATATTTAAAACTATTTGTGATCTGATCTGATTTGATTTGATTCAAATAAGAATAAGTAAAAAAATAAATTGAAGAGAATATGCCGGAAGAAACATAATCATTACCTAAAATAAGAGTAAAACATAAGACTAAAATAAGAGTAAAACATAATCATTATCTCAAAATAGGAGTGCACTTTGATAATGTAAAACTATATATTACTCCCTCCCTCCGGATTTGAAGTACCCATTTTGACTTTTGGTCATTTTTATTGAGTGTTGACTTTGGAATGGAAATGTCTACAATACCCTTACTCTTCCCCCTGTTATCCAATCGCCTCCAAGACCCAACCCATACCACCACCGTTAGCTCTACCTGCCGCACCACCACCGTCAGCTCCGCCCGCCGCACCACCACCGTCAGCTCCGTCCGCCGTAGGAGCTTTCCGAGGAAGAATATATGTGAGGAAGTTAGGCGAAAAAGGAGAAACAGATCAAACGAGTCGGCGGCTGGATCGATTCCTTTGGAAGAAGCAATCGACGGCCAGGCAGTAGAGTAGAAGTTTGCGGATCCAGGTGCGTTTCCAGTACGCCAACTGCCGTCCCCGCCGGCAAATCCGTGCCTGCGATGATTCCGGTGCGGGAGGCGGTAATGAAGACCCAAATCCGTGCAACCTAGACCTAGGTGCAGATCTGGCTGGAAAGAGAAGTAGAAGCTAGAGTAAAGGTGCCAATCGAGAAAAAATAACAGAGAAGAAAGGAGAAGAAGAAAAGAAGAAGAAGATGGGGAATAGGAAAGAGAAGGAGAGAGAAGAAGAAGATTGAAGTGAAGGAGGACTTAGAGAAGCAAATCGGAAAAATGGAATGGGAAAGAAAGGAGAAGAAGAAAAGGGGGTATTTTAGGAAGAGTGGGTATAAAAATGTAGAATGGGAACTTTATTTCCGGACGAAAAAAAGCGTAGAGTAGGAACTTTAAATCCGGACGGAGGTAGTAGTATTTTACATTATTTTTTGGTATTATATATTGATATTATTGACATTCTAACTTCTATTTTGATAATATAAAAATGAAAATCTTATTTTAGTATCTTATATTTTACTTCTACTTCACTTTTTTCTTAATGCAATCTATACCCTAGACCTGACTATTAAATTTTAAATAAAGATTTTATTAATCAAATCCGAAGATAACTTAACTTAAATGACCCGCTAATAAAAATATGTCGGAAAATGCTAGGGGTACACTAAAAGTGTACCCCACCACCCCTCCATCACCACACAAAAAAGACAAGAAAATTCAAAAAAAAAGTAAAAAATAAAAATAAAATAAAATGAATGGTAAAAAAGGGAGGTGATGTACATTTGGGATACACCTTTGGTGTACCCCTAGCATATCCCAAATATGTCAGATCGACCAAACCCAAAGGGTGTAAAAAGTTCAAAGGATTATGCTATGTGTACCCCAAATTTTGTACCCCAATTTGTACCCCACAATTTTGCACCAACACTTTGTGTTGGTGTAAAACTAATTTTTGTTAAATGCACCAACATTTGTATCTGTGTGAATTTTTATTAACGCACTAACACTTGTGTCGGTGTAAACCATCGAAATGTTTGTGCAAACCTGTGGTGTACAAATGGGGTATATTTTTTGGTGATAAAATTAATTTCATTTTGTTTTTTTTGTTATTACTCTTTTTTCGTGTTTAAACTTGTATTTTTTTAAACGAGTTAGAACCATATGGTATTCTTTATCTTACTTTTTCAAAAAATTGTACATAGATATTTTGTATTATTTACGGAGTTTTTTTCCTCCTATTTTCATATTTAACATTTCCTAAAAACTCTTCCTTTTTTCATATTTAACATTTCTAAAATGATATGATCTTGTCATCTCTTATTTTGTATAACTTTTCATGCAGTTTTTTTAATTAGTATATATACATTTTATTTTTAAATTTTATATTTACAATCAAATAAATTGAATTAAAAATAAAGTCGATCAAACCTTATACGGAGTAATACATAAGGTTAATTTACCTAAATAGGACTAAAACATAATGACTTTCTCACCATATTTTTTTATTTCTCAATCTAGGATCATTGATCATTATCTATTAGTCATTATTCAACTAAATGTCCTGCATCACTTGGACATTATTCTTCTCACTAGTCATTATTTTTCAATACAAATTTCACAATACATAATAGAAAGATCTATAAGAGATGGAGAGAATATATCTAAGTATTAATAAAAATTCAAAAATAATATATTGTATCAACTTTAATATTTATATTTTGACATTTTGTAGTATTACTTTTATGCAATATGTAGCAGCTGGTGGCATAAGTTTAATTATTCTAAAAGAACATGGGTAATCTTACACTAGTGTATTGATGTAAGATTATTATACCAATTCAATTAGAGCATCTATGGTATTTTATTCGTAAAATTGATTATTCCTACCTTTAACTCTTTGATAAACCCACTAGCCCACTCCGTCCTCAATGCATCCCCGCACTATCACCAATTCTATTACACCAAATTTTGTTGATTTTCTGCTCAAAAATTTGACCCAGATTTGATGTAATGAAATTGGTGGGGGTATGGGCATGCTTTGGAGACAAGGCGAGTTAGAGGGGGTTTAACGGGAGTTATGAGATATGATCAATCAATTTTATAATTGGTGCAAGATTACTCTTCTCAATCTAAAATAAATGTTTATAAATCTGTGTATTAACTTGAACATGATGTCAATGAATGATGAACTTACTCACCCCATTCATAAAAGATTAATACAATTTGACTTTTTTGATCAAATCGTGACATCTTTTGACTACGAATTAAATATAATTTAAAATAATTAAATTTTTTAAAAATTTGATACTTCAAACTATACTTTTTAAAATAAACTCAAATCTTACTTAATTTACATTATTAACTAAATATATTTTTTCTATAATTCATAGTTAAAAGGTGTCACAGTTTAACCTGAAACCGAATCGGACCCCAGGTTTGCCAACACTAGCTAGGTTTACATAAGCGTGACATATAAAAAAATCTAAGAAAAATGCTAGGGGTACACCAAATGTGTACCCCATTTGTCCCACACTCCCTCCTTGTCCATACAAAAAAGGCAAGAAGTTTAAAAAAAATGAATAAATAAAAATAAAATTAAAATAGATGATGGAGAAAAAAGTGGTGTACATTTGGGACACACCTTTAGTGTACCACTAGCATTGCTCAAAATCTAAACCAAAGGAGTTTAGGAAAAGATAAAGTAATCCGTGCAAATGAGTTTTGGAAAGATAAAGTGGTCTGCCCTTTACATGACCTTTTCATTGGGTCGCCCAATTAAAACACCCACCCAAGAAGACCCGGCCGGGTCCGTATGATAAAAGCTTAAATCAAGTCGCCCAACTTCTTTATCTTTTCATAGTTTGACTCTTTGATAGTGGCTTTGCATCATGAAATTAATCTTTTACATATTAGGTCATTCATTTTTTTGAAATAAGTCATTCATATTTAAACATTCATTTTTTTAAGACGAGTGAAGTATTTTCATTATAGTACATTTTTCAATTAATTTATACATTTTCTCCTAATTTAACCGCATTACATTATATTTTGTCTTAGGACATCCCCAATTCAGAGATTCTTCTTATTCTCCATTTGTGGCTTTACTTATGAGACATATAAAGTATTAATCGGACTATACAATGCTTTTTGTTGTTAAAACGGAATAAAGTAATTGAGTAATCGAAAATGAACAGAAACGTAAAAAGACACATATTTAACGTGCTTCATTCACAAATGTTGTGTTGACTACATCCACAGACAAGAACGCATATCGGATTGTATTATGATGGCGGTTCATTCAGATTAGAGAGGTTTGTGTCCTACTTCAATATAAATAGGCACACAAGACGGGTTAGACCCAATATAACAATTAGGCCTAAAACAGCAACATATCGTACAATACATATTCAAGACATACTAACACTTATGTTTTTAAAAATTTCTTATCACTTTTCATTCAACGTTTAAAAAATATCAATTTCTTTTAAGAAAATCCCCTTACCCCTACTAATTTTTACTTTATTTATTATTCCGTACATTATATATCTGTTCACTATTAATCTACTTGTCACATAATTTTTTTAACCTTTCACATCTAAAAAAAATACTCCGCATAAATCTTGTAAAAGTCAATACTACCTCCGTCCCATTGTGTTTGTCCACATTTGACTTTTGGAACTGTTCATCTAAGCACTTTGACTTATCAAATTCTCTTATTGTGTAAGCCTAAAAATAGTCATGTGTGATCTTGTTTGATTCGTCTTAACATATAGATTATTAATATATAATTTGTATAATTTTTTAATATACAAATTACAAGATAAAATGGATTAAAGAAGTGCATTGGATGGTGTGCCAAAAGGTAAGTGGACAAACACAGTGGGACGGAGGGAGTAATAAAAATAAAACGGCTTAGCTTGCATGCCAATTCATGATGTACATCATTGGATGGACCCATTGATGATATGATCGGTTTGGTGAGAGTGGGAAACAAAATCCAATAAAAACTTACACTAATGGTACAAACTAAAGTTGAATTCATCACTATAAATCTTGCATGCTTATGATGATGTGAGTTCTCCCCAACCCATATGCGCCATGATTAAACCCCATTTCAATTCCCTAATCTACGTTCACTTGATTATTATTAATACTAGCTACTTATATAAACTCATACGGAGTATTTGTAACCAGTTTGGAGCTCATAATCAATGGGTGTTGAATAATTCATTTCTCATGTCTCCTTATCAATTCCAATTCCAATCATAATGTCACCACCCGGCCTATTTCAATTTGGGTAATACTAATACTTATTACCAGCTGCTTGCAGGTGGTATCTATCTAGCTACACCTAATGGGGAGAGGCTATATTTTAGAAAATCCTTTGTATTTTTTTTTAGCTCAAATCAAGCCCGTCTTGCATTACGGGCCTAACAATCGAAGCCTCGGATGGACTGCCCGCCCCCGACGGATGGTTGGATACTTGCGGGCTTAAGGCTTGGGCCATGTTTTCTTCAAATTTATTTGTACTATTTATTAGTTTTTTTTATTGAAATTAGATTAGATCGTATTAGAAATAATTTTAATTATAACTACAATAAAATTAGATCATAACAGAACTTATTGTAATAGCAAGATGATCTTGCTATGAAGATTTGCAGAATAGGAAAAGAAATCTTGATAAAGAAGAAAGAACAAATGATATTTTGGGAGAGGGAAAGAGCAGGGAGAAGATATAATTAAATAAAATATGTATTGTATATTAATTAGATAAAATAATATTTTGAAAATATTTGATATAATAAATCTAATAAAATTATTTTTGTATCAATATCTAATATCATTTTTATTTAATTTGAAACCAAAGTTTACAAATTTTGACCGAAAAATCCAAAAGTGGACAAATAGTTAGGAACGGAGGGAGTAAATCTAGAAAAGGACAATAGAAAAAATTAGGCCCAATACTCTCTTGTCTAGGGTATTCATCACTTTCACCTTAAGTCCAACTCCCTTGCGGAATCCCATCCCGTAACCCTCAAATATTAGTCCTAAACAACCGCATGGTCATGCATTCCAAGGCCAAGATCACTTCTTTCAAACATATCTTAAACAAGT